TGCGCCGATAGGTAAGTGCAGCTGACTCGTGCTGGTGGAAACGAGGTAGTCTGTGGTGGGACGGACTTCTCATCGATGAACGATGATGAAGGCTGTTGTGGCGAACTTAGGCACCTGACCTGAAAATTAAGTAAGAACCAATTTTAATTTCATAAAATTATGCAATATGTTAGAGTTGTTCTTTACTGAGGAGACGGGCTGTTTGAATCCTGGATGTGAAGGACTGCTACTAAGATAACTTTGGAAGAATTTTTTTCGCAGATCATTATTTAACTTTCCCTCAAAAAACAGTAGAGATTTGAGTTTTGGCATTTCATATGATAAAATAAATTTAACAACCTCTCATTCTGTTGATTAATAAAGGAAATACGCTTATCAGTTCATCACGATAATGTCACAATCACTTGAGGTGTACTTCAAGATCTGTATGTATAAAATTTGTTTTCAGATGACTGTATTTAGGTTACACGTGAACATGAACATCTAACGCTACCCCCCCACCCCCCCCAAGTAGAGTTAGGGTGTTTAATTAGTGGGTGAAATTAGGTGGGGTGGAACACTAATTTTCATGCGATTCTAAAAAATATAAATAAATTTTATCTACTCCAGGGACGCAGACTTACTTATTTACGTCAGCCGAGGGAGTATCATGAGGAGCATCGACGAGGTGATGATAGCTTATAGTGGCAGACGTAGTGAGAGCATAGCGCCGTCTGATGCCGTGGTTGAAGTACTCGGGTGCAACAGTGAATCAGAACCACGAAAAATATCTCCTACGCGTTTCCTCACACGACTCTCTGAGACACCTCGCACACATGTAGGAGACCGACGCAGCAACGCCCTTACAGCCTCGCACACAGACACACAGCCTGTAGAGATGGTAGTAATGGTACAGAAAGAATTCAGAGGAGAATGACAAGAATAATACCGGGCATTAGAAACCTTGAATACAGAGACAGGTTAAAGCATCTTAATTTGCACTCTCTCGAGAGACGTAGAGTGAGGGTGACCTGATAGAGGTGTATAAATGGAAGTCAGGGCTAAACAAAGGGACATTACAAAGGGTACTCAAACTTTCCAACCAGGGAGCGAACTCATGGCAATGGTTTAAATTGAACCAAATTTAGATTTAGGAGCGAGAATTGGTAAACATTGGTTTGGAAATAGAGTAGTGAATGAATGGAACAAGTTGCAAACATCATCATTAACTTGAATACGCTGGATAGCTTCAAACATAGGTTGGATGGATATATGAGCAATAGAGGTTGGGTAAATGGGACTGACCAGTATGGGCCAATAGGTTCGCTGCGGTATCCTTCGTTCTTATGTTCTTGTGTTAACTTGACTAATATGTGTTATTATGTGTGTGATGTGTTTCGTAGACTTACCTAAAACAGATCCATTTATGATGTCAACTACCACATTCGAGAGCGGTGACTTAGGTTTTCTGATTTGACAGCCACGAACTATGTAAAGAAGACAAAGATTATTTTAGTTGTTGTCAGGGGTACCTAGTGACAGCACTAGGATCCCGCTTCCTCGATCAAGGAATAAACAACTGAAATGGAATTGTTATTTTTAGATAACAGTTGGCATCACGTTAAAGTTGATTATCACATTGTTATAATGTTCTTATAACAATACAGGATGCATGAAAAATACGCTAAAAGCATAAATAAGGTATACATTGTTATATGGGAAAATACATGAACATCATTACACAACACACGATAATATCCAGAACACTACAGAACCTATACAAAATTACTAGTTACAGAATCTTGTGCTTAACTATGGGTTTTATATATTCTAAAATCTTATCACCGCCTCCATTAAACACATACACCACTGCCACTACACAAAGACACTAACGCCACACATATAGCGGCACTACTTGCTTTAACTGACACTACCGCCACGCCACAAACTGACACTACCGCCACACACATACTAACTGACACTACCACCACACATACTAACTGACACTACCGCCACACGCTGCTAACTGACACTACATACATACTAACTGACACTACCGCCACATACCCCAACTGACACTACCGCCACACATACTAACTGACACTACCGCCACACATACTAACTGACACTACCGCCACACATACTAACTGACACTACCCATACATACTAACTGACACTACCGCCACATAACCCCGGCACTACCACCACACATACAAACTGACACTACCACTCATACAAACTGACACTACCACCACACATACTAACTGACACTACCACCACACGCCACTAAGCGGCTACGCCACTCATACTACTTAACTGACACTACCGCCACACATACAAACTGACACTACCGCCACATACTAACTGACACTACCACACACACATACAACTGACACTACCACTCGCCACAAGCCTTCTACACTGTACTAACTGAAAGCACTACGCCACACATACAAACTGACACTACCGCCACACATACTAACTGACACTACCGCCACACATACTAACTGACACTACCGCCACACATACCAGCTGACACTACCACCACTCCGCCGCTGACACTACCGCCACACATACAAACTGACACTACCACCACATACTAACGGCTACCACACATACAAAAGTGGCACTACCGCCACACATACTAACTGACACTACCGCCACACATACTAACTGACACTACGCCACTCCATACTAACTGACACTACCGCCACACATACTAACTGACACTGCCGCCACGCATACTAACTGACACTACCGCCACACGCACTAACTGACACTACCGCCACACATACTAACCCCAGCACTACCGCCACACATACAAACTGACACTACCGCCACACATACTAGCAGCACTACCGCCACATACTAGCAGCACTACCACCACACATACTAACTGACACTACCGCCACACATACTAACCCCAGCACTACCACCACACATACAAACTGACACTACCGCCACACATACACATTGAATAATAGAACAAGCTCCACGAAACAGGGAGAGTAGAGATCATCGGGGCGACACCTTCCACTAGTGTATTTATGATAAGATGTCAGTTGTTCTAACTGAGGAGAATACAGCAAAGTTACTTATTATGAGTAACAGCTGATGAACATATATTATCTTTACCTGGAGCCATGATGACAGGATCTTAAGAGGACACACCAAAACAGTGACACAAAACTGTGGATGTAACTGGAATGAGTTAAGACACTACTGGCGAAGCTGGCTGCTGAGTGATGACGAGCTACCATCAGTTGACCAGGTAGAATATATTTAGTATATAGTCAGGTGAGGCGGGTCTGTCCTGCCGTTGGATTGGGTTACTTCAGGTCATGTAGAGGCCGCCGCTACCAGTTGTCATAAAATAAAGCCGCACTGAATGTCGGCGTTGTGGCACTCTAGGTCAGCGGTGGCGGTGTTTGAACTAATCGTATATTGCCAGATATGTTACGGGAGATTAAGCTAAAAAATAATGGTAAACAAGTTACTCAAACACACGTAATGTACCGCTGCCTATAGTGGACCTGTGTACCGCTCTCAGATTAAAGTGTACCATTTTGTACCATTATTAATTTAAGACTACCTCATTTACATTCAACGCAAAACATAATGACACCACCGCCACACATACAAACTGACACCACCGCCACACATACACACTGACACAACCGCCACACATACACACTGACACCACCGCCACACATACACACCCCAGCACCACCGCCACACATACACCACCGCCACACATACACCACCGCCACATACACCACCGCCACACTGACACCACCGCCACACATACACCACCGCCACATACACCACCGCCACACTGACACCACCGCCACATATACACTGACACCACCGCCACACCTACACATTGACACTTCCGCCACACATACACAATGACACCACCGCCACACATACACCACCGCCACATACACCCACCGCCACACATACACCCACCGCCACGCATACACCACCGCCACACATACACCACCGCCACGCCACACCACCGCCACACCCAGCACCACCGCCACATATACACACTGACACCACCGCCACACCTACACATTGACACTTCCACCACATATACACACCCAACTTCCCGCCACACATACCTTTACGAGACACCACCGCCACACATACACACGGACACCACCGCCACACATACACACTGACACCACCACCACACACATACACCACCGCCACATACACCCACCGCCATACATACACACTGACACCACCGCCACACATACACCACCGCCACACATACACCACCGCCACATACACTGACACCACCGCCACACGCCACACCACCTGCCACATACTCGCGGCACCACCGGCACATACTCACTGACACCATCGCCACACATACACCACGGGCCAAAACATACACCACCGTCACACTGACACCACGGCTACACATACACCACCGCCACACATACCACACTGTCACTAGTAGAGTACCATCGCCACAATGACACCACCTCCACACTGACACCACCGCCATACATAGACCACCGTCACTAGTGGAGCATCGCCGTCATTAGTGGATTACCCCAAGGCTCAGTACTTGGACCATTATTATTTATTATATAAATAAACGGCATAGATATCGGTATAGACAGCAACATAAGTTAGTTTGCTAATGACACTAAAATAGGGTGTGTAATTAAATCTGACAAGGACTCCGCAAAACTACAGGAAGACCTAAAAAAAAATTTCGAATGGTTCTGAAAAATGGCAGATGAAATTCAATGTGGCCTTAGACTAGGAGATGTAAACAGAGAAACCAAATACCAGATTACTCCAGAGCATGCTGAATCCGAATATATGGTCCACGATTAGGTTGCGGGGTAAATAGTGGTTGTAATGACGCTTGGAAAATTTAATTACATTTTACAATGCTAATTACTCGCCAACTATGGCTTTCCAAAGTGCGATTTTGGTGTTAATGTGTTATTCTGTAAGTAATTAATTAGTTAAACCCCTTAAATTTTTATTTAAGCGCCCCCATGAGGCCTCCCAGGTACGAAGGCGCCACCAAAGGCCCATTCAGGGGTTGTGGCACCCACAGGAGCCCTCCAATGGGCGCCGGGAACCGCAGGGGCTCTCCCGGGGACAGAGACATTCTCAGAGGCTCTCCCAGCGAAGGTGACGCCCTCAGAGGCTCTCCCAGGGACAGCGGCGCTCCCAGTGGCCCTCCCAGGTGGGTTGGCACTCCCAGGGGCCATGCCAGGGGTCGCGGTGCCCCCAGGGTACCTACTAGGGAAGGCGGCGCTCCCGGATACCCTCCCAGGGGCGACTTTGCCCCCAGGGGCCCTCCCAGGGAAGGCGGTTTCCTCAGGGCCCCTACGAAAAGCGGTGGGGCCCCGAGGGACCACCCCAGGGGCGACGGTGCACCTAGGGACCTTCCCTTGGGCGGTGGCTCCACCATGGATTCTTCAAGGGGCTGCAAGGTCCCCAGGGACCCTACCAACGGCCTCCAGGGGATCATCGCATGCTTGGTCGTTGTGTTATATGTATTACATATCTCCAGCAGACCTTTACCTAACTATGATTAGTGGACTGTTCTTTTAACAGACCAAATTACAGCCAATAGGAGAAGAGAGCAGTCAGTCAGCACAACACCACAACTTATGATTTCCTGTTGGATATTATTCTCATTTACGTTGTATAGGACTGTATATTTATTTAACGTTGTATCTCGTAGTGTTTTAAATAGCACAAAAACTACTGCACCCAGGGGCCCTACTGCTCTGGTGCTCCCATTAGCCCTCCCAGGGGAGACACGGATCCCAGGGACTCTCCCAGGGGCGGCGGCTCCAATTGGGTCCCTGCCAGGGACGGCGGTGACCTCAGGGACCATTCCAGAGGCGGTAGCGCCCCCAGGGACCATCCGAGGGGCTGAGAGGCCCCCAGGGGCGCTGGCGCACTCAGGGGCTCTGCCAGGCACGGTAGCGCTCCCAGGAGCCCTCTCAAGGGAGGTGGCGGCCCCAGGGACTCTGCCAGGGGTTTTATCGTCCCCTGATGATCGCCCTGGGACAGCGGCGGTCCCAAAAACCTTCACAGGAAAGGCGCTCTTTCCAGGAGCCCTCCAAGGGACAGCAGCACTACAAGGATCCCTCAAGGGACACCGGCGCTCCGAGGGGCCCTCCCAGGTTCGTTAGCACCCCCGGGGGCCATGCTTTTTTTTTTTATTTTTATTTTTTTTTACTGGAATTAGCCCACCCGGGCACAGGTCAAACGACCCACAACGGAGCCTAAAGAAAAAAAGAACAGAAAGAAATTGAAAATACATAAAAAAAGGTTATACTATATTAATCTACACCACGAAGAGGTGGCGCTCCCAGAGGCCCTCGCAGGGACGGCGGCGCTCCTAGGGGCCCTCCAGGGGATGGCGGCGCCGTCAGGGGCTCTTCAGGGACAGCAGCGCTCACAAGGGCCCTCTTAGGCACGGTGGCACCCTCAGAGGAAATGCAAGGGACAGCGGCGCTCCAAGAAGCCCCCCCATGGACGGCGGAGCCCCCAGGTGGTCTCCCAGAGATAGCGGCGACCCTCCCAGGGACGGCGGTGCCTTCAGGGACCCATTCTCCGGCGGTGGGGCCACCAGAGGCCCTGTGAGGAGCGATGGTGCCCCAAGGGGCTCTCCCAGACATAGTGGCCCTCCGAAAGGCTCCCTCAACGACGTCGGCGCCTCAGGGCCTGAACCAAGGGCACTCTCATTCCCAAGGGCTCTCCCAGGGACAGCCACGCTCATAGAGGCCCTCCCAGGGACCGGCGGCTCCTCCAGGGTATCCCAGGTACACCGACGTTCTGAGGGGCTCTCTCAGGGATGGCGCGCCCACAGAGGCTCTCCCGGAGACAGCGGCGCTCCAAAGGGCCCTCTGAGGCGCGGTGGTGACCTCAGGGGCAATGCAAGGGACAGCGGCGCTCCCAGAAGCCTTCCCATGGACGGCCATTCCCCAGGGGCAATCACAGGGATATCGGTGGCCCTCTCAGGGACATAAACGCCCCAGGACCCCACTCAGGGGTTGCCGCACCCCCAGGGGCCCTCCGAGGGGCTCTGCAATCAACAGGGGTTCTCCCAGGTACAGAGGCACTCCCAGAGGCCCTCCGAGGGAAGGCGGCGCCCCATGGGCTGTCCTAGGAACAGCGGCGCTCCCATGGGCCCTCCCAGGTGGGTTCACGACCCCAGATGCCATGCCAGGGGCGGCGGCGCCCCCAGAGACCTTTCTAGGGATGGCGGTGCTCCCAGGTACCCTCCCAAGGGCGACCTCGCCAACAGGGCCCTCCAGAGGACGGCAGTTTCCCCAGGGCCCCTACGAAAAGCTGCGGTGCCCATAACGACCAACCAAGGGGCGACGGTGCACCTAGGGACCCTCCCTGGGACTGTGGCGCCACCATGGACCCTTCCAGGAGGAGCGACGTCCCCAGGGACCCTACCAAGTGCGTCCAGGGGATCATCGCATGCTTGGTCGTTGTGTAATATGTATTACATATCTCCAGCAGACCTTTACCTAACTATGATTAGTGGATTGTTCTTTTAAAAGACCAAATTACAGCCAATAGGAGAAGAGAGCAGTCAGTCAGCACAACACCACAACTTATGATTTCCTGTTGGATATTATTCTCCTTTACGTTGTATAGGATGGGCGGTGTCTTTATTTAACGTTGTATCTCCCAGAGTTTTAAAAACCGCAAAAACTACTGCACCCAGGGGCCCTACTGCTCTGTCGCTCCCAGGGGCCCTTTCATTGGCGACAGTGACCCCTGGGACCCTGCCAGGGACGGTGGTGCCCCCAGGGACCATCCCAGGGCGGTGGCGCCCCTAGGGACACATCCCATGAACTCGCTCTGGGACAGCGGTGGTCCTAAGGTTCGTAACAGGAAAGGCGTTGCTCTCAGGGTCCCCCTCATGGGCATTGGTGCTTCCAGAAGCCATGCCAGGGACAGTGACACCACCGGGGCTACTCCCCATGACACCCGCCCTCCCAGGGGACCAGCAAGGGGCACTGGCACTCTCCCAGGAGCCTTTCCATGGACGGCCGATCCCCAGAGGCTGTCACAGGGATAGCAGTGGCCCACCCAGGGTCGGAAACGCCCCAGGAGCCCACTCAGAGGTTGCTGCATCCCCAATGGCCCTCCGAGGGGCTCTGCGACCAACAGGAGTTCTCCCAGGGACAGAGGCACTCCCAGAGGCCCTCCGAGGGAAGGCGGCGCCCCCAGGGGCTGTCCTAGGGACAGCGGCGCTCCCATGGGCCCTCCCAGGTAGTTTGGCGCCCCCAGGGGCCATGCCAGGGGCGGCGACGCCCCAGGGACCTTTCTAGGGACGGCGGCGCTCCCGGGTACCCTCCCAAGAGCGACCTCGCCAACAGGGACCCTAGAGAGGGCGCCAGTTTCCCTAGGGCCCCTACGAAAAGCGGCGGGGTCCCCAACGACCAACCCAGGGGCGACGGTGCACCTAGGGACCCTCCCTGGAACTGTGGCGCCACCATGGACCCTTCCAGGAGCAGCGACGTCCCGAGGGACCCTACCAAGTGCTCCCAAGGGATCATCGCATTCTTGGTCGTTGTGTAATATGTATTACATATCTCCAGCAGACCCTTACCTAACTATGATTAATGGACCGTTCTTTTAACGGACCAAACTACAACCAATAGGAGAAGAGAGGAGTCAGTCAGCACAGCACCAGAACTTATGATTTCCTGTTGGATATTTTTCTCCTTTACGTTGCATAGGATGGGCAGGGACCCTGCCAGGGGCTTTGGCGCCACCAGGGGCTCTCCTAGGATTAGCAGCACTCTCAAGAGCCCTACCAGGAGCGGTGGCGTTCTCAGTGACGCTTTCAAGGGCCCTCCCAGACACAGCAGCACCCTCATGAGCCCTCCCAGGGACGAAAGCTCCCCCAAAGGCGCACGCAGGGGTTGTGGCACCCACAGGAGCCCTCCAATGGGCGCTGGGACCCGCAGGGGCTCTGCCAGGGACAGAGATTTTTTCAGAAGCCCTCCCAGGGAAGGTGACGCCTTCAGAGGCTCTCCCAGGGACAGCGGCGCTTCCAGGGGCCCTCCCAGGTGAGTTGGCGCCCCCAAAGGGATATGCCAGGGGTCGTGACACCCACAGGGACCCTACTAGGGATGGCGGCGCTCGCGGATACCCTCCCATACACGACTTCAACCGCAAGGGGCCCTCCCAGGGGAGGCGGTTTCATCAGGGCCCCTACGAAAAGCGGCGGGGCCCCGAGGGATCGCCCCAGGGGCGACGGTGCACCTAGGGACCCTCCCTGGGGCGGTGGCGCCACCATGGACTCTTCAAGGGGCTGCAACGTCTCCAGGGACCCCACCAAGGGCCTGCAGGGGATCATCGCATGCTTGGTCGTTGTGTAATATGTAGTACATATCTCCAATAGACCTTTACCTAACTATGATAAGTGGATTGTTCTTTTAACAGACCAAATTACAGCCAATAGAAGAGAGCAGTCAGTCAGCACAACACCACAACTTATGATTTCTTGTTGGATATTATTCTCCTTTATGTTGTATAGGATGGGCGGTGTAGTTATTTAACGTTGTATCACCTAGAATTGTAAAAAGCGCAAAAACTACTGCACCTAGGGGCCCTACTGCTCAGTCATTCCCAGAGGCCCTTCTATTGGCGACGGTGACCCTTGGGACCCTGACAAGGGCGGTGGTGCCCCCAGGGACCATCCCAGGGCGGTGGGGCCCATAGGGACACATCCCATGAACTCGCTCTGGGACAGCGGGGATCCCAAGGGTCGTAACAGGAAAGGCGTTGCTCTCAGGGTCCCCCTCATGGGCGGTGGTGCTCCCAGAAGCAATGCCAGGGACAGTGCCGCCACCAGGGCCTCTCCCCATGCCAGCAGCACTCCCAGGGGACCTGCCAGGGGCACTGGCGCTCTCCCAGGAGCCTTCCCATGGACACCCGATCACCAGGGGCTGTCACAGTGATAGTGGTGGCCATTCCCGGGGACAGAAACGCCCCAGGAGCCCACTCAGGGGTTGCCGCACCACCAGGGGCCCTCCGAGGGGCTCTGCAACCAACAGGGGTTCTCCCAGGGAAAGAGTCACTCCCAGAGCCCTCCGAGGGAAGGCGGCGCCCCATGGGCTGTCCAGGGGACAGCGGCGCTCCCATGGGCCCTCCCAGGTAGGTTGGCGCCTCCAGGGGCTCTCCCAGGATTAGTAGCACTCTCAAGAGCCCTATCAGGACCGGTGGCATCCCAGGGCCCCTTCCAGGGGCCCTCCCATGGACGAAAGCTACCCCAAAGGCCCACTCAGGGATTCGGGCACCCACAGGAGCCCTCCAATGGGCGCTGGGACCCGCAGGGTCTCTCCCAGGGACAGAGGCACTCCCAGAGGCCATCCAAGGGAAGGCGGCTCTACCAGGGGCCATACCAGGGGCGGCGGAGCCCCCAGGGACCTTCCTAGTGACGGCAGCGCTCCCAAATACCCTCCCAAGGGCGACCTCGGCAACAGGGGCCCTCCAGAGGACGGCAGTTTCTCCAGGGCCCCTACAAAAAGCGGCGGGGCTCCCAACGACCAACCCAGGGGCGACGGTGCACCTAGGGACCCTCCCTGGAACTGTGGCGCCACCATGGACCCTTCCAGGAGCAGCGACGTCCCGAGGGACCCTACCAAGTGCTCCCATGGGATCATCGCATGCTTGGTCGTTGTGTAATATGTATTACATATCTCCAGCAGACCTTTACCTAACTATGATTTGTGGATTGTTCTTTAAACAGACCAAATTACAGCCAATAGGAGAAGAGAGCAGTCAGTCAGCACAACACCACAACTTATGATTTCCTGTTGGCTATTATTCTCATTTACGTTGTATAGGACTGTATATTTATTTAACGTTGTATCTCGTAGTGTTTTAAATAGCACAAAAACTACTGCACCCAGGGGCCCTACTGCTCTGGTGCTCCCATTAGCCCTCCCAGGGCAGACGGGGATCCTAGGGACTATCCCAAGGGCGGCGGCAGCAATTGGGTCCCTGCCAGGGACAGTGGTGTCCTCAGGGACCATTCCAGGGGCGGTAGCTCCCCCAGAGACCATCCGAGGGGCTTAGAGGCCACCAGCGACCAACCCAGTACCGACGGTTCACCTAGGGACCCTCCCTGGAACGGTAGCGCCCCCATGGACCCTTCCAGGAGCAGCGACTTCCCCATGGACCCTACCAAGTGTCCCCAGGGGATCATCGCATGCTTGGTCGTTGTGTAATATGTATTACATATCTCCAATAGACCTTTACCTAACTATGATAAGTGGATTGTTCTTTTAACAGACCAAATTACAGCCAATAGAAGAGAGCAGTCAGTCAGCACAACACCACAACTTATGATTTCTTGTTGGATATTATTCTCCTTTATGTTGTATAGGATGGGCGGTGTATTTATTTAACGTTGTATCTCCTAGAATTGTAAAAAGCGCAAAAACTACTGCACCTAGGGGCCCTTTTGCTCAGTCACTCCCAGGGGCCCTTCTATTGGCGACGGTGACCCTTGGGACCCTGACAAGGGCGGTGGTGCCCCCAGGGACCATCCCAGGGCGGTGGGGCCCATAGGGACACATCCCATGAACTCGCTCTGGGACAGCGGGGATCCCAAAGGTCGTAACAGGAAAGGCGTTGCTCTCAGGGTCCCCCTCATGGGCGGTGGTGCTCCCAGAAGCCATGCCAGGGACAGTGACGCCACCAGGGCCTCTCCCCATGCCAGCAGCACTCCCAGGGGACCTGCCAGGGGCACTGGCGCTCTCCCATGAGCCTTCCCAAGGACACCCGATCCCAAGTGGCTGTCACAGTGATAGTGGTGGCCATTCACGGGGACAGAAACGCCCCAGGAGCCCACTCAGGGGTTGCCGCACCACCAGGGGCCCTCCGAGGGGCTCTGCAACCAACAGGGGTTCTCCCAGGGACAGAGGCACTCCCAGAGGCCCTCCGAGGGAAAGCGGCGCCCCATGGGCTGTCCAAGGGACAGCGGCGCTCCCATGGGCCCTCCCAGGTAGGTTGGCGCCTCCAGGGGCCATGCCAGAGGCGGCGGCGCCCCCAAGGTACCCTCCTAAGGGCGACCTCGGTAACAGGGACCGCCCCAGGGTCGAACGGTGCATCTAGGGATCTTCTCTGGGGCGGTGGCGCCACCAGGGACCCTCCCAGGGGCAGCGACGTACACAAGGACCCTACCAAGTGCCTCCAGAGGATCATTGCATGCTTGGTCATTGTGTAATATATATTACATATCTCTAGCAGACCCTTGCCTAACTATGAGTAATGGACCCTTCTCTTAACAGACCAAATTACAGCCAATAGAAGAAGAGAGCAGTCAGTCAGCACAGCACCACAACTTATGATTTTCTGCTGGATGTTATTCTCTTTTACGTTGTTTAGGATGGGCAGGGACCCTGCCAGGGACGTTGGCGCCACCAGGGGCTCTCCCAGGATTAGCAGCACTCTCAAGAGCCCTACCAGGGCCGGTGGCGCTCCCAGGGCCCCTTCCAGGGGCCCTCCCACAGACGAAAGCTCCCCCAAAGGCCCACTCAGGGATTCGGGCACCCACAGGAGCCCTCCAATGGGCGCTGGGACCCGCAGGGTCTCTCCCAGGGACAGAGGCACTCCCAGAGGCCATCCAAGGGAAGAAGGCGCTACCAGGGGCCATACCAGGGGCGGCGGAGCCCCCAGGGACCTTCCTAGTGACGGCAGCGCTCCCGGGTACCCTCCCAAGGGCGACCTCGGCAACAGGGGCCCTCCAGAGGACGGCAGTTTCTCCAGGGCCCCTACAAAAAGCGGCGGGGCCCCCAACGACCAACCCAGGGGCGACGGTGCACCTAGGGACCCTCCCTGGGACGGTGGCGCCACCATGGACCCTTCCAGGAGCAGCGACGTCCCCAGGGACCCTACCAAGTGCCCCCATGGGATCATCGCATGCTTGGTCGTTGTGTAATATGTATTACATATCTCCAGCAGACCTTTACCTAACTATGATTTGTGGATTGTTCTTTAAACAGACCAAACTACAGCCAATAGGAGAAAAGAGCAGTCAGTCAGCACAACACCACAACTTATGATTTCCTGTTGGATATTATTCTCATTTACGTTGTATAGGACTGTATATTTATTTAACGTTGTATCTCGTAGTGTTTTAAATAGCACAAAAACTACTGCACCCAGGGGCCCTACTGCTCTGGTGCTCCCATTAGCCCTCCCAGGGCAGACGGGGATCCTAGGGACTATCCCAAGGGCGGCGGCAGCAATTGGGTCCCTGCCAGGGACAGTGGTGTCCTCAGGGACCATTCCAGGGGCGGTAGCTCCCCCAGAGACCATCCGAGGGGCTTAGAGGCCACCAGCGACCAACCCAGTACCGACGGTTCACCTAGGGACCCTCCCTGGAACGGTAGCGCCCCCATGGACCCTTCCAGGAGCAGCGACTTCCCCATGGACCCTACCAAGTGTCCCCAGGGGATCATCGCATGCTTGGTCGTTGTGTAATATGTATTACATATCTCCAATAGACCTTTACCTAACTATGATAAGTGGATTGTTCTTTTAACAGACCAAATTACAGCCAATAGCACAACACCACAACTTATGATTTCTTGTTGGATATTATTCTCCTTTATGTTGTATAGGATGGGCGGTGTAGTTATTTAACGTTGTATCACCTAGAATTGTAAAAAGCGCAAAAACTACTGCACCTAGGGGCCCTACTGCTCAGTCATTCCCAGAGGCCCTTCTATTGGCGACGGTGACCCTTGGGACCCTGACAAGGGCGGTGGTGCCCCCAGGGACCATCCCAGGGCGGTGGGGCCCATAGGGACACATCCCATGAACTCGCTCTGGGACAGCGGGGATCCCAAGGGTCGTAACAGGAAAGGCGTTGCTCTCAGGGTCCCCCTCATGGGCGGTGGTGCTCCCAGAAGCAATGCCAGGGACAGTGCCGCCACCAGGGCCTCTCCCCATGCCAGCAGCACTCCCAGGGGACCTGCCAGGGGCACTGGCGCTCTCCCAGGAGCCTTCCCATGGACACCCGATCACCAGGGGCTGTCACAGTGATAGTGGTGGCCATTCCCGGGGACAGAAACGCCCCAGGAGCCCACTCAGGGGTTGCCGCACCACCAGGGGCCCTCCGAGGGGCTCTGCAACCAACAGGGGTTCTCCCAGGGAAAGAGTCACTCCCAGAGCCCTCCGAGGGAAGGCGGCGCCCCATGGGCTGTCCAGGGGACAGCGGCGCTCCCATGGGCCCTCCCAGGTAGGTTGGCGCCTCCAGGGGCTCTCCCAGGATTAGTAGCACTCTCAAGAGCCCTATCAGGACCGGTGGCATCCCAGGGCCCCTTCCAGGGGCCCTCCCATGGACGAAAGCTACCCCAAAGGCCCACTCAGGGATTCGGGCACCCACAGGAGCCCTCCAATGGGCGCTGGGACCCGCAGGGTCTCTCCCAGGGACAGAGGCACTCCCAGAGGCCATCCAAGGGAAGGCGGCTCTACCAGGGGCCATACCAGGGGCGGCGGAGCCCCCAGGGACCTTCCTAGTGACGGCAGCGCTCCCAAATACCCTCCCAAGGGCGACCTCGGCAACAGGGGCCCTCCAGAGGACGGCAGTTTCTCCAGGGCCCCTACAAAAAGCGGCGGGGCTCCCAACGACCAACCCAGGGGCGACGGTGCACCTAGGGACCCTCCCTGGAACTGTGGCGCCACCATGGACCCTTCCAGGAGCAGCGACGTCCCGAGGGACCCTACCAAGTGCTCCCATGGGATCATCGCATGCTTGGTCGTTGTGTAATATGTATTACATATCTCCAGCAGACCTTTACCTAACTATGATTTGTGGATTGTTCTTTAAACAGACCAAATTACAGCCAATAGGAGAAGAGAGCAGTCAGTCAGCACAACACCACAACTTATGATTTCCTGTTGGCTATTATTCTCATTTACGTTGTATAGGACTGTATATTTATTTAACGTTGTATCTCGTAGTGTTTTAAATAGCACAAAAACTACTGCACCCAGGGGCCCTACTGCTCTGGTGCTCCCATTAGCCCTCCCAGGGCAGACGGGGATCCTAGGGACTATCCCAAGGGCGGCGGCAGCAATTGGGTCCCTGCCAGGGACAGTGGTGTCCTCAGGGACCATTCCAGGGGCGGTAGCTCCCCCAGAGACCATCCGAGGGGCTTAGAGGCCACCAGCGACCAACCCAGTACCGACGGTTCACCTAGGGACCCTCCCTGGAACGGTAGCGCCCCCATGGACCCTTCCAGGAGCAGCGACTTCCCCATGGACCCTACCAAGTGTCCCCAGGGGATCATCGCATGCTTGGTCGTTGTGTAATATGTATTACATATCTCCAATAGACCTTTACCTAACTATGATAAGTGGATTGTTCTTTTAACAGACCAAATTACAGCCAATAGAAGAGAGCAGTCAGTCAGCACAACACCACAACTTATGATTTCTTGTTGGATATTATTCTCCTTTATGTTGTATAGGATGGGCGGTGTATTTATTTAACGTTGTATCTCCTAGAATTGTAAAAAGCGCAAAAACTACTGCACCTAGGGGCCCTTTTGCTCAGTCACTCCCAGGGGCCCTTCTATTGGCGACGGTGACCCTTGGGACCCTGACAAGGGCGGTGGTGCCCCCAGGGACCATCCCAGGGCGGTGGGGCCCATAGGGACACATCCCATGAACTCGCTCTGGGACAGCGGGGATCCCAAAGGTCGTAACAGGAAAGGCGTTGCTCTCAGGGTCCCCCTCATGGGCGGTGGTGCTCCCAGAAGCCATGCCAGGGACAGTGACGCCACCAGGGCCTCTCCCCATGCCAGCAGCACTCCCAGGGGACCTGCCAGGGGCACTGGCGCTCTCCCATGAGCCTTCCCAAGGACACCCGATCCCAAGTGGCTGTCACAGTGATAGTGGTGGCCATTCACGGGGACAGAAACGCCCCAGGAGCCCACTCAGGGGTTGCCGCACCACCAGGGGCCCTCCGAGGGGCTCTGCAACCAACAGGGGTTCTCCCAGGGACAGAGGCACTCCCAGAGGCCCTCCGAGGGAAAGCGGCGCCCCATGGGCTGTCCAGGGACAGCGGCGCTCCCATGGGCCCTCCCAGGTAGGTTGGCGCCTCCAGGGGCCATGCCAGAGGCGGCGGCGCCCCCAAGGTACCCTCCTAAGGGCGACCTCGGTAACAGGGACCGCCCCAGGGTCGAACGGTGCATCTAGGGATCTTCTCTGGGGCGGTGGCGCCACCAGGGACCCTCCCAGGGGCAGCGACGTACACAAGGACCCTACCAAGTGCCTCCAGAGGATCATTGCATGCTTGGTCATTGTGTAATATATATTACATATCTCTAGCAGACCCTTGCCTAACTATGAGTAATGGACCCTTCTCTTAACAGACCAAATTACAGCCAATAGAAGAAGAGAGCAGTCAGTCAGCACAGCACCACAACTTATGATTTTCTGCTGGATATTATTCTCTTTTACGTTGTTTAGGATGGGCAGGGACCCTACCAGGGACGTTGGCGCCACCAGGGGCTCTCCCAGGATTAGCAGCACTCTCAAGAGCCCTACCAGGACCGGTGGCGCTCCCAGGGCCCCTTCCAGGGGCCCTCCCACGGACGAAAGCTCCCCCAAAGGCCAACTCAGGGATTCGGGCACCCACAGGAGCCCTCCAATGGGCGCTGGGACCCGCAGGGTCTCTCCCAGGGACAGAGGCACTCCCAGAGGCCATCCAAGGGAAGAAGGCGCTACCAGGGGCCATACCAGGGGCGGCGGAGCCCCCAGGGACCTTCCTAGTGACGGCAGCGCTCCCGGGTACCCTCCCAAGGGCGACCTCGGCAACAGGGGCCCTCCAGAGGACGGCAGTTTCTCCAGGGCCCCTACAAAAAGCGGCGGGGCCCCCAACGACCAACCCAGGGGCGACGGTGCACCTAGGGACCCTCCCTGGGACGGTGGCGCCACCATGGACCCTTCCAGGAGCAGCGACGTCCCCAGGGACCCTACCAAGTGCCCCCATGGGATCATCGCATGCTTGGTCGTTGTGTAATATGTATTACATATCTCCAGCAGACCTTTACCTAACTATGATTTGTGGATTGTTCTTTAAACAGACCAAATTACAGCCAATAGGAGAAGAGAGCAGTCAGTCAGCACAACACCACAACTTATGATTTCCTGTTGGATATTATTCTCATTTACGTTGTATAGGACTGTATATTTATTTAACGTTGTATCTCGTAGTGTTTTAAATAGCACAAAAACTACTGCACCCAGGGGCCCTACTGCTCTGGTGCTCCCATTAGCCCTCCCAGGGCAGACGGGGATCCTAGGGACTATCCCAAGGGCGGCGGCAGCAATTGGGTCCCTGCCAGGGACAGTGGTGTCCTCAGGGACCATTCCAGGGGCGGTAGCTCCCCCAGAGACCATCCGAGGGGCTTAGAAGCCCCCAGAGGCGCTGGCGCACTCAGGGGCTCTGCCAGGCACGGTAGCGCTCCCAGGAGCCCTCTCAAGGGAGGTGGCGGCCCCAGGGACTCTGCCAGGGGTTTTATCGTCCCCAGTTGATCGCCCTGGGACAGTGGCGGTCCCAAAAACCTTCACAGGAAAGGCGGCTTTTCCAGGAGCCCTCCAAGGGACAGCAGCGCTCCAAAGGACCCTCCAAGGTACACAGGCGCTCAGAGGGGCCCTCCCAGGTTCGTTGACGCCTCCAGGGGCCATGCCAGAGACAGTGGCGCTCCCAGAGGCCCTCCCAGGGATGGCGGCGCCCTAGGTGCTCTGCCAAGGACAGCGACGTCCCTAGGGGTCCGCCTGAGGCTAGCGGCGCGCACAGGGGCTCTCCAGGGACAGCAGCGCTCACAAGGGCACTCTTAGGCACGGTGGCGCCCTCAGAGGAAATGCAAGGGACAGCGGCGCTCCCAGGAACCCCCCATAGCGGCGACCCTCCCAGGGACGGCGGTGCCTTCAGGGACCCATTCTTCGGCGGTGGGGCCACCAGGGACCCTGTGAGGAGCGATGGTGCCCCCAGGGGCTCTCCCAGACACAGTGGCCCTCCGAAAGGCTCTCTCAAGGACGTCGGCGAACCCAGTGCCTGAACCAAGGTCAACTTCATTCCCAAGGGCTCTCCCAGGGACAGGCACGCTCATAGAGGTCCTTCCAGGGCCTGGCGGCTCCTCCAGAGGGTTTCGCAGGTACAGCGACGCTCTGAGGAGCTCTCTCAGGGATGGCGGTTCCCCCAGGGGCCCTCAGGGACAGCGGCGCTCCAAAGGGCCCTCCGAGGCGCTGTGGCGACCTCAGGGGCAATGCAAGGGACAGCGGCGCTCCAAGGAGCCTTCCCATGGACGGCCGATCCCAAGGGGCAGTCACAAAGATATCGGTGGCCCTCTCAGGGACATAAACGCCCCAGTACCCCACTCAGGCGTTGCTGCACCCCCAGGGGCTTTCTGAGGGACACTGTGACGAGCAGGGGTTCTCCCAGGGACAGAGGCACTCCCAGAGACCCTCCGAGGGAAGGCGGCGCCCACAGGGGCTGTCCTAGGGACAGCAGAGCTTCCATGGGCCCTCCCAGGTAGGTTGGAGACCCCAGTTGCCATGCCAGGGGCGACGGCGCCCCCAGGGACCTTCCTAGGGTTCGGCGGCGATCCCGGGTACCCTCCCAAGGGCGACCTCGGCAACAGGGCCCCTCCAGAGGGCGGCAGTTTCTCCAGGGCCATTACGAAAATTGGCGGGACCCCCAGCGACCAACCCAGTACCGACGGTTCACCTAGGGACCCTCCCTGGAACGGTAGCGCCCCCATGGACCCTTCCAGGAGCAGCGACGTCCCCATGGACCCTACCAAGTGTCCCCAGGGGATCATCGCATGCTTGGTCGTTGTGTAATATGTATTACATATCTCCAGCAGACCTTTACCTAACTATGATAAGTGGATTGTTCTTTTAACAGACCAAATTACAGCCAATAGAAGAGAGCAGTCAGTCAGCACAACACCACAACTTATGATTTCTTGTTGGATATTATTCTCCTTTATGTTGTATAGGATGGGCGGTGTATTTATTTAACGTTGTATCTCCTAGAATTGTAAAAAGCGCAAAAACTACTGCACCTAGGGGCCCTACTGCTCAGTCACTCCCAGGGGCCCTTCTATTGGCGACGGTGACCCTTGGGACCCTGACAAGGGCGGTGGTGCCCCCAGGGACCATCCCAGGGCGGTGGGGCCCATAGGGACACATCCCATGAACTCGATCTGGGACAGCGGCGATCCCAAGGGTCGTAATAGGAAAGGCGTTGCTCTCAGGGTCCCCTTCATGGGCGGTGGTGCTCCCAGAAGCCATGCCAGGGACAGTGACGCCACCAGGGCCTCTCCCCATGCCAGCAGCCCTCCCAGGGGACCTGCCAGGGGAACTGACGCTCTCCCAGGAGCATTTTCATGGACACCCGATCCCCAGGGGCTGTCACAGTGATAGTGGTGGCCATTCCCGGGGACAGAAACGCCCCAGAAGCCCACTCAGGGGTTGCCGCAACACCAGGGGCCCTCAGAGGGGCTCTGCAACAAACAGGGGTTCTCCCAGGGACAGAGGCACTCCCAGAGGCCCTCCGAGGGAAGGCGACGCCCCATGGGCTGTCCAAGGGACAGCGGCGCTCCCATGGGCCCTCCCAGGTAGGTTGGCGCCTCCAGGGGCCATGCCAGAGGCGGCGGCGCCCCCAAGGTACCCTCCTAAGGGCGACCTCGGTAACAGGGACCGCCCCAGGGTCGAACGGTGCATCTAGGGATCTTCTCTGGGGCGGTGGCGCCACCAGGGACCCTCCCAGGGGCAGCGACGTACACAAGGACCCTACCAAGTGCCCCCATGGGATCATCGCATGCTTGGTCGTTGTGTAATATGTATTACATATCTCCAGCAGACCTTTACCTAACTATGATTTGTGGATTGTTCTTTTAACAGAACAAATTACAGCCAATAGGAGAAGAGAGCAGTCAGTCAGCACAACACCACAACTTATGATTTCCTGTTGGATATTATTCTCCTTTACGTTGTATAGGATGGGCGATGTCTTTATTTAACGTTGTATCTCCTAGAGTTTTAAAAAGCGCAAAAACTACTACACCCAGGGTCCCTACTGCTCTGTCGCTCCCAGGGGCCCTTCCATTGGCGACGGTGACCCCTGGGACCATGCCAGGGACGGTTGTGCCCCCAGGGATCATCCCAGTGTGGTGGCGCCCCTAGGGATACATCCCATGAACTCGCTCTGGGACAGCGGCTGTCCCAAGGGTCATAACAGGAAAGGCGTCGCTCTCAGGGGCCCCCTCATGGGCGGTGGTGCTCCCAGAAGCCATGCCAGGGACAGTGACGCCACCAGGGTCTCTCCCCATGACAGCCGCCCTACCAGGGGACGTGCCAGGGGCACTGGCGCCGCAAAGGGCTCTCCCAAGGACAGCGGCGCTCCCAGGGACAGTGGCGCTCCCAGGGGCCCTCCCAGGTGGGTTGGCATCTCCAGGGACCTTCCTAGGGACGGCAGCGCTCCCGGGTACCCTCCCAGGGTCGACGTCGCCCCCAGGGACAGCCCCAGGGTCGAACGGTGCATCTAGGGATCTTCTCTGGGGCGGTGGCGCCACCATGGACCCTCCCAGGGGCAGCGACGTACACAAGGACCCTACCAAGTGCCTCCAGAGGATCATTGCATGCTTGGTCATTTTGTAATATGTATTACATATCTCTAGCAGACCCTTGCCTAACTATGAGTCATGGACCCTTCTCTTAACAGACCAAATTACAAAATTACAGCTAATAGGAAAAAAAGAGAGCAGTCAGTCAGCACAACACCACAGCTTATGATTTCCTGTTGGATATTATTCTCCTTTATGATGTATAGGATGGGCGATGTCTTTATTTAACGTTGTATCTCCGAGAGTTTTAAAAAGAGCGAAAACGACTGCATCCATGGGCCGTACTGCTCTGTCGCTCCCAGGGGCCCTCCCATTGGCGACGGTGACCCCTGGGACCCTGCCAGGGACGGCTGTGTCCCCAGGGATCATCCCAGGGCGGTTGTACCCCTAGGGACACATCCCATGAACTCGCTCTGGGGCAGCGGCGGTCCAAAGGGTCGTAACAGGAAAGGCATCGCTCTCATGGGCCCCTCATTGGAGGTGACGCTCCCAGAAGCCATGCCAGGGACAGTGACGCCACCAGGGCCTCTCCCCATGACAGCCGCACTCCCAGGGGACCTGCCAGGGGCACTGGCACCGCAAAGGGCTCTCCCAGGGACAGCGGCGCCCACAGCGGCGCTTCGAGGAGCCTAGGGTTCGTCTCAGGTGGCAAATGACCCCACACAGGAATAGGAACCCTCCCAGTAGCCCTCACAGGAGCCTAGGTGCACTATCAGGGTGTAGGGGCCCAACAATTGGCCCAGCGGCCTTCTCAGGTGCCCAGTGGTCCAAAGGCTCACAAAGGCGCCCAGGGGCCCTCTCAGGGACCCAGTTCCCCACCCAGGAACCCAGGGTCCTGCTTAGGGGTCGAGGGGCCCACCCAGGTGCCCTCACAGGGCCCATTCAAAGGCCCTACCAGGGGACCAGAGACACACCCAGGAGCCCAAAGGCCGGGTCCGGAGCCCTCCAAGGGGCCCTCACAGGGGCCCAGGATCTGTCCAAGGAGCCCATAGAGCCTCTCAGGGTCCTTCCCAGAGAACCAGAGGCCCTTCCAGAGGGCCCAGAGGACCTCCCAGAGCGCTCAGAGGCCCTCCCAGTCGGCCCAGAGACCTCCTAGAGTCCCTACCAGGGGTCCTTCCAAGAACCCTCCCAAGGGCCAAGGGGACCTCTCAGGGGTGCTCCAAGGTGCCCATATGCCCTCCCAAAGGCCAGGGGACCCTCCTAGGGGACCAGGAGCCATCTTAAGGGAGAAGAAGCCCTCTAATGGGGCTCAGGGTCCATCCCAGGGACCCATGAGCCTAGGAGCCCTCTCGGGGGCCCAAGGGCCCAGTTACTTGTTCAGAGGCCCTGTCAGGGGCCCATGTGCCCTCTTAAAGGCCAAGGAGCTCTCCCAGGGGAAACAGAGCCCCTCCTTGTTGCACACGAGCCCTCCCAGGGACCATGTCAACCTCCTAGGGCCAAGGGGACGTCTGAGGAGCCCAGGGGATGTCCGAAGGGCGCACGGGACCTCCGAGGGGCCCAGGGGTCCTCCGAGTGGCCCAGGAGCCCTCCCAAGGGACCAGAAGCCCTACCAGGGAGGACCCCTGGGATTTTGGATTGGCCATTGGGCCTCTTAGAGGATCCTTGGGCTCCTGACAGGACCTCTGCTCCGGTGGGAGGGCCCCTGATCCCCTGGGGGTGGTGCTCATATTAATAATAATAATAGTAATAATAATAATAATAATAATGATAATAATAATAATAATAATTATAATAATAATAATAATAATAATAATAATAATAATAATAATAATAATAATAATAATAATAATAATAATAATACACGGTTTATTAATAGAGTTGCAGCCGCTGGCTGAAAATATACAAGCTACATGCTATTTAGACATAATAATATACATTCTATACATTTACAGGGCTGTACAGTACATAAATCAGAAGCTGTTTATTATTTCAACAATAGATGGGATGGTGCTGTTCTTATATCTATCGGTGCGGGCTCTTATGGGCTGAATTTTGTTGTAGTGGCGGACTGCGCGAGGTGGGAGGGGGGCTGCCGGTTGTAATAGGTGTCGATGACGAGGATGGTGCCGTAGTCTGCTGCCAGACCCTGCTAGTGCGTGGTGATGGAGGTAACCGAGAGATGGCATTTCAAGGATGGAGAGAGCGTTGTTGTAGCCCGAGTAGTCTGCACCGATCATGATTCTGCAGGCCCTCTTCTGTACCTTCTCT